CCCCCCCCCCCCACCACTTTTGGAAAGTTAAAAAAAAAAAAAAAAAAAAGGGAGAAAAAAAAAGAAAGAAAAAGAAAAAAATGTATTGCCCAAAACACCTCAGAGGTTAGTTATGGGCGTCTAGGGAATAACAATTTTGCGGTGGCATATTCCCCCGTACCCCTTAGGGCGATGTTATCTCGATCGGCCCCTCTTTCAGCCCCAGTTTCAGACATTTCTGGATCTGCCCCTGACTGTTATGGTAAGCATTAGGGATGAATTTATCCATACATTTAAGGCTTGCCAACCCAAAACCTGCATACTGTCGCATTAAACGAAGTAATTAGCATACTAATGTGGAAGTATTGTATACTTTAGTAAAGAGGCTGAAGCTGTAATACTTCTTTGGCAATAGTAAGTCGATTTCACTAAATGACCCATCACTGACAATGTAGAGAATATAAATATATTAAAAAGTCAATTTTCTTATTTTGTTCAATGATACTGGTTTTGGAATGACAAGCCCCATTTTATTTCAAGACATAATTTATGTATACACCCTATAAAAAAACACACCTTTTTCAAAATTATATTTAGACAGTCTTGTAACACAGTAGCCCATGGACGATTAACAGAGATAATTGCCCTTTAAAAGATTAGTTAAAAAAGGTCAAACCCCATGGCTATTAAACATGGTAATTCTGTATATGGAAATTATTGTAGTGGGTGTGAGGGATGATTATTTTGAGACAAAATCCAGAAAACAAAATGTCAACAATGATTCATTGTCGTTAAAATTCAGTAATTTAATCTTCATTAATGATTTTGCTTTCTTTGCTAATGATTCTTTTGAATCTTGGCTTGTCATTTTAATTATATGCTTATGTCCAGAAAACATGACATGTTATAATGCTAAGAATCATTGAGTGGTACAGTAATACATCTTCACTGCCAGTGGGATATATAATAGTGCACTGTATTATCAAACAACAACCTCATAGGTCAAAAGATGAATGGTTTGTTTGTTGACCTTGTTTTAATTCGGATCCTTACATTAGTTATGTTCAGACAGCCCTCCGTCTGAAGTAAAGTTAAGACAAACGTAAAATTTTACGCATGAGTTACTTCCGACAAGTGTCCACATGACACTTACTGTACCCAGAGCATAATGTTGACTTCAAAGCTAGTCCAAAGCTTAGACGTAACTATGCATACTTTCCGAAAGGGATAATCACCACTCTCTATGGTTATTTTGTACGCAAATTCTTGAAATTGTAAATAATTATGAAAACAATTTTTAAACATCACATTTATATAAAATAAATACATTATTTTGGCACTCATTTCATTTATAGGTATTTATCTTTTGAAAAAAAGGAGGTCAAAATAAAGGTCGCATTTACTTGTGAGTTCTGAATTAAGTGCATCTACACAGCGCTACTCTGAGTGTACGTATTCCTTATCTACTTTTTGTATGTGGAAGCAGCACACTTACTCCTGAGAATGCTCAGGAGTAAATCGTCTGTAGTAACGTCGAAGTAACTTAATACAAAGAGCGTCTTCACAAGCACTACCCAGGGCTTACAACAGGTAAACTGCTACTTTAAAGCTTACTTCTGACTCGTCTGAACGTGCCTAATTTAAGGTATCGCTTGCATGTACTGGCAAAATCTAGGGATATTGACATGTGGAGATTGAAGATGGGAAAGTAAGCAGGTGTTATCCATGAGAATAAGGTGATATGTGGTGACTTTAAACTACAGTTCGTCCTCTATATTTGAGACCACTTTGGGACCTGAAAATTTGGGGTGGTCTCTGTGTTCGGTCTCTACTTAGAGGGATAGCTGTGTGTAAATTGACAATTGTTATTTAGTTCTATGAAAAAGTGTCCTCGAATTCCCTCAAATTAGGGGGTCTTGAATCGGAGTGTACACTGTCAGTATATGAGTACTTACATTCTTTTTTTTACTTATCAAGGATGAATGCTGCCCACAGAAAGTGGGATAACTAGAAACAGAGGGCATTGCTTCAAATCCTGAAATATTTTTTTGACTTTATATTTGTTCCAATGCTTTTAAGCATTAAAGTACAAAAAAAATAGTTTATTATGATGTTTTTTTTGTATATTATAGGTTGGGGTGAATGTCTATTTGGTTGTTTTATATTACATAACCTTCTCAGGTTTTTGCCTTCCTTGTACATTCTCCCATCTTTTGTATTTGTTTGTTTTCCTGGAAATAAAGATTGATTTGATTTGATATTTAATTGAATTGAAGATGAGCTGACCTAGATAACAGATACTATCATCACCAGATAGAACACCATCACCAATGAGCTTTAAGCTGAGTTATATAAGCTACAAAATAATTATCAACTTCATATCCAGGTAAGAATTCACAAAATGGATTTAGTAAAACAGAAAAAAAAAATATTTGAAGTTAACCTTTCGTTTTAGACAACTAACCGGTTCTATTTCTACACCTTACACACGTCTGTTTTGTTTAAATCAGTCTTATATGTATCGTTGTGGAAACGATGCAAAAAGCTCTTAATTTTGTCTCGTCTGCATCAAATTTCAAGCCCAAGGATTTCAATGATGCAAGTTAAATATCAACTTAAATCTACCTGCTTTGCCTAAAAGGAATCACATTATAGGGATGCGGTCTACATGTACGCATTTCACATTGCAAATGTCAAATCTAAATCCATGATCATGCTTTGGGGTCATTTGTTGATAAAATTTCAGAGATGACTAAGATTAATTTTTTTTTAAATACACAATCATGTTGAAAATTCTACTAACTTCATTTTTAAAAGAAAAAAAATAATGTGATATGAGGTAGTTGACTGGTCAATCAATTCAAAGAAATTATACGATCAAATTATATTGGACTTTATACCGGTATATATTTTTAAAATATTTGTATAATTAAAATAAAATTAAATTATGAAAATAGAAATATATAGAAAAAAATTAAATTGAAAATTACCCAAAAATATGAAAAAGTTTAAAAAAGAAAATATAAATTACATAATAAAATTATTATATTATACATTAATAATATTATATATAATTTAATAAAATAATATATTGTTTATTATATATTATTAATTTAAATACTCTATAACTATATTTGGATTGCTCTGCTAGTATCACCATCTCTTCAGTTATTATTTGGACAGACAGATAGTTAAGAATACGCCTTGTATGTTCCACCGTATGGAAAGAAGAAACCTGGTCGCCAGCGCATTCTGTTTTTACCTTATATCCAGCGCCTTTTGGGTGATCCTGAGGGAATGCTGCTGCCACACCAAATTATCTTAATGGCCCAAGATCGCAAAAACTGGAAAAAACTTGTGGTCGCCTGCTCCGCAGCCGACTGATGATGATGATAGTTATGATATGGGCTGGCATACACCTCACCTTCCCTCCCACAAAAAATATACACCCCCTTATTGAAAATGTCTGAACCAAAATAATCATGCTCAAGTAGTTAAAAATCACCTTATTTTGCAAACTAACGGCCCCCTCCCCCAATCACCTAATCAACGAGCCCCCCCTCTTCAACTTCGCATCCCCTATCATCCACCTCACCCTCTTCAAGTATCTTAGATACCCCACTGAAAGTGCTAGGTTCAGACTCTCTCACAGCTCATGAAGCTTTGAGAATCCCAAGTGATCACCATTTTCCCGGATAGATCATTCTCATTAACTAAAGTGTGAAAAATAGAAGAGGAAAACTGCACACATATTAAATAGTTATGAAAATAATGGTGATTACCTTCAGTCGTGAGGAAGTTCTTTTGCAGCCAATTAACGGTCGTCATCGCATCGTGTTCATCGTTGACTAGCAGCACGTTTCTTGGAACTCGGCCAGAAAATCGTCTGTTTGGACTGTTTTGTATCTCGGTGTTGGTGGCGAGTTTCGTGATGTCAGCTCCTGTAGGCATGGTCACCTGGTACTGCTGACCTGTAGCGATCACGAGGTGATCGTATGGAACTTTCGCACCTCCTGTCACCTTAACATATTTACTCGCTCTGCCAACATGTAAAAAAACAATCTGAATGTGTTTGTACAGACAAAAGGATGATGAATCAAGGTCTTACAATCCTTTAAAAATCTCATTTCATTTTGCCATTTGTTTTTCTTTTCTGTTTCTTGTATTTATGTAATTTGTATTCATTTTTCTTTAATTTTGTTTTTGTAATTTAATGTAGTTTAAGATCATACCCTGGGCCTCAGGGAAGAACAGTGTAATAATACTGACTGAGTATCCAGAATAAAGAAAGATACCTATCTACAGATTCAATAATCTTATACGGAAAGTACAAAATCAAATTTGTTTTCTAGGCCAAAATATCCGCGGTCTACGTAGAGATAAAGTTTATTAGATTCTAGAAAGAGGTAATCGAATATATAGTTGTAATGACATGGTTTATGTACTTTTTAATGATGTTCATGAAATAAACAAAAAGTGATAAAGGAGAATACGTATTAAATGACCTAAAGAGTGAATATACCAAGCCACAAGAATAGTGTTGAATATTTCGCCGTATCAACGACTCATCAGCGACTGAGACAGGAATTAGGCAGGCCAGGCTTTATATACTGTGCTAATAAGCTAACATGTGTTGGAAAGTATAAAAAAAAGTAAGTAAAAAAAAATTTAAAAAAATCAGGTAATAAGGAAAGCGTCACTAAGTTCATTCTTACGGTTTATAGAGTCTACAGATTCAATAATCATATACGGATAAATTAAACAAGCCAATTGTATTCCATGAAAGCTGAAAACATTTTAATCCATTCTACCTGCCTTCTCCACCTTTCAACCATGCCCCCAAACTGTTGAAAATTGATTTATATGTTTATAGTACCAGGTTTTTTTAGACAATGTATTTGTAAGTCTGCAGCTTTCAAGATTACAATTAGAAGGTTTTCCAGCAAACTCCTGAAGAATCTCACAAACAATTACCTGGAGGATGAAACTGGGCTAGTGGTTCTGAATTAAAAAATCTACCCTCTTATAGAAAGAAAATTATTATAATTATTTCTATAAAATATTCACCTGTCGATTGCAATCATTTTTGCATTGACAACATTCACCCAAGTACGCAGCGAGATCTGCGCCAACTCATCACGTGTGTAGTTACGTGGCGTGGAGAGAAAGTTGGACACAATGTCGTCCGTTGCAAGATCTCCGGGTAGACCATGTGGCGAGATCAAGACCAAGTTGTTGAATCGCAAATGGGGGCTGAGAAACGATTATGAAAAAGTTGGCGTATTTAATACATTACAGTAATGTTACATTAATGAATAATAAATAAGAATAGTTTTTACATCATATTAATAATAATAATAATAAACCAATTATATATAGACATCATGGCAAATAATGTTTTGTCCACACTATAAAAATTTCTTATCCTGACCATATTTAGGAAGTCACATATTTTTTAGTCAAATAAAATTTGATAGTATGAACACAGCTTTCAGCTCTGTTTACACTATCAAATTTTCTTTGATAAAAAAATGTATGCCCATTTATAGTCATGATGTGCCTATATACGGTCATGATGTGATGTCATCATGACCATATTTAGGCATGTCACATGTTTTTGTCCACTGAAATTAGACTGGACAGGGACTTATGCTTGTACGTGCTTCGCATTTGCACCCCAAGCCACTGGATCACATACGCATTTGGCCCGCAGGCTGCACAACGCCCACCAGTGCTCCTGATCGAATAATTATTCCTAAATTCCTTCTATAAGCCACAAGCAATGACAGTTGGAATGGTGCCTACTAAACTGAATGATTAACTGATTAATAAAATGATTCTAACGGGCAATAATTAAAATCTATAACTGCTCATCACTCATTGGCATAAACAACAGGCAGGGAAAGGGAATATCTACAGTTTAAAATTGTCAGAAAATTTGTCCATACTATATATTTATTTTATTTATTTGATATTCATATATCGCCTTTCCTTTAGGATACAAAGCGCTCAGTTTTCTCTTGTCATTTGGTCCACATGCTAAGTGTTGCTGCCACATCGGCGCAGTAGCAGACAACCCAACCAGGTACTCATTTTTACTCCTGGGTGGAGAGAGGCAATGCAGATAAAGTGCCTTGCTCAATGACACAAGTGAAATGGTGCACGACGAGGAATTAAAACCAGTAGAAATTGTGAGTGATGTGAAACTGATATTTTTTGATACGTACCAGAAAGCAAGTGTCTCCAGGAAAGATAAACTGACATCAGAAGCTCCGACAATAACGATACGAGAGTTTATTGTCACCTTAGGTTCAAGGGTCAACTTCCGGTTTATGTGATTCAAAGCAAACTTTTCCTGGATTAAAAACATTTATAAGAAATTATTTATCTTATTTTATTACTCACAGCTAAATAAATGTTAAACCAACGCTTAATAAATATACATCAGAAATTTACAGACATGTTATCACACACACACATGTTAGTAGTAGTCCACATACATAGGGTTTTAACATATTTTTGTGGGCTGGCCGCACTTTACCACCTGTGATTTATAGTAATAAAGTTCTTCATATTTGTAGTTCAACTCGGTATAAATACAATTATCATAGTTTACTCTCAGGGAAACAAACCTTTTCCTTGATAACACGTTTCGAAGATGCATTACCACCGAGTCTGTCCAAGGGGTAAATGATCTGGCGGCGGGCTCGGACGGGAACCATGTGGTTCAGACATGTCACAATAGAATGGCAAGCAGAATCCTTGAGGAATACAAAAAAGAGGAATTACAATGATGATGATAACATATTATGATTGTAAAAACTTATCAATAATGATAAATGTTTATAAAGTCAAGTTGAAATTTGGAACAACTCTTAAACCTTTGAAAACACTGAAATGATTATTCAAAGGAGATTAATATTTGACCTGTAAGTTAAGATCACAATGGAACTTTCTGTAGTGTCAATTCAACTTAACAACTGACCAAACAGAATGGGGTAAGGAAAATGTGCTTGTACCCCAGCCTCTCCCCCTCCCTACACACACACACACCCACACACACACACACAATGCACATTTTGTTCCAAATACATATTTAGTTTTACGCTATTGTTTTGTGGGACATTGCAACAAGAACAGAGGGGCAGGGGTTTGCGGAAAGGTCGATTACTCTAATGCCTGTTATAAAATTAAACATCCTGAATTTTCCAATATGGAATTGGTTGTAATAATGCATACCTTGCCACTAAATACTCTAAGAGCTAACCACAGCATCAAGAAAAATAGAGTTCATACCTTTGTTGTTGAGTACGGAGGGAAAACCGGATAATACAAGCAGGAACGATGTGATTGCCGTAAGACTTCTTTCAACATGTGCTTGGTGTAATGCTGGAAGATTGGGTTGATAGTGAAATGGTAGAGATGGGCGTGCTCATCCCGTCGGTGATGGTTGTAGTAGATAAAGTCTTCAATGTTGTAATGAGAACGGATGTACTCGATATCCTCCTCGCTTCTGGTGATAGCAACGCTGACGATTTGACCGCCACACTCACCGACAAATGCCTGGATTGGCGTTCCATCCTGAATCAAAATTACATTGAATTATTAGAGATATACTGTCTCATAAAATACAGACAAATTATTTAACACAGATTCAAAAGGATCAAGCAAGATATGATACACTTATTGTCCAATGAATCATATTGAACTAAATATGTTTTTTATGATTTACAGACCTTTTGCATTATTAAAAAAAATATTACAAGTTAAATTAAGATTTAAAATTAAGAGAAATGCTAAAGTTCAAATACATTCTTTCATCAGCAAGGATAGTATTTTGTAATTTAAATTTTAATCAAAACTTTTATGTTATTTATTTTAAACTGAAGATATCTGTTGCTGGAAAAATATTTACAAAATCTACCAAGATATGTGACTAGAATTTCACTTTGGATTGTGAAGTAATCCTCATAAATATTCATAATATATCCTCATAATATATTTGCTACCCTGGATATTGCAACAAGACCCTCAATTACACATGTTTAATTGCATTCAAGTAAAAATATATCATTTCGTCGAAAATATTTACAAATTTTATAGAGATGTGTCAACTAGAATTTCACTTTGGATTACTAAGTAGTCTTCATAAATATTCATGATATAGATACTACCCTGGATGTTGCAACAAGAAAATGGATTACAAAGGCTTAATTACATTCATTAACCAAAAAAAAAAAATGCTACAAAAGAAAAAAAACACCCCTGGATGGAGAGGGATGCAGATTTCCCAGGACATTAAAGAGGTGTTTATAGCCTAAAAGTCAATCATTATACAATAACATTTTATGAGACCCTGGATATATGAACTAACATCATTCTGTTGTGAAAAAAATAATGAGTGTAGATGTAGCTAGATGGTTAAGATGTTTGGCTTCTAATCTAGGGTCCTGATATCTAATCCTGGCAAAACCACCATATTTTCTTTTATGACAAATATAACAACCTCATAATTAGACCGCGTCTATAGAACATGATTTTGCATTCTGTAAGTGACGAGTCACGAACAGTTGAAATTTAAAAAATTAAAAATATGAATACGATCAACACTTGGCTAACAATTCACAAGGCCATGCTTACATCATCACGCCTTGCACGGTTGAACTGATCAAAATCTGCCAAGATCGACTCTTTGTTGTCGATGGTATCAACAAGCTTTGCTACGTCATCCCTGTCTTCAGGGCACACTGGGCGTACGTTGAAGGATTGTAGGATACCGGCTCGGTTGAAGACATACAACTCCTGTGGTAGGGTGCTCGGACATTTTGGTGTTACTCGCTAAGTGAAGAAAACAAAACACAATTATAATCAGAAATGTTAATATTTACCTGTACATTTTAACATTTTTAATTGCATATACGTATAGTTTGACATATTTTTTTAAAATGATAAACTTTGCTCACAACTAAACCAAATAAAATCATGTGAAAAAACATATTTATTAATACCAGAGTCAAAAACAAATGGTTATTAATTAAACAATGTAAAATATCTTTTTAAGAATTTAGCAAATTTAATACATGGTTGGATAAATCTGATTTAAATTGTCACCATGCAAATAGTAAAAATGTGACACTAGCAAAACAGATAAACTGGGATGTTTACTGTTCTATTAGTACTGTATTACCTTTATAAATGGGAAATTTGATTGTGAAAGTACAAACCAAGATATGATTTAACCACATTCTTACCACAAAACTCTGGAGAAGGGGGAATTCTGGAACTAAGTGGGGCACAGTTACCACACAGAAATCTTTGTCTGGGAACAACGAGAATGCTAATGGCAAAAAATCCATAGATCTGAAAAGACAGATGAAGAATATCAAATTATACAGCTATCTAATCTTTTCGAGGTATGCGTGGCGAAGCGTGTATGGTGTTGGACTTACGATCGTGCTATCGGGAGTTTGAGATTGACGCTCTATTGCATTTCTTGTGTCCTTGGGCAAGGCACTTTACTTACATTTGCCTCTCTCCACCCAGGAGTATAAATGGGTACCTGGTAGGATGATGTGGCATTGTAAGTATTATTCTGTATCGGCATTGCCAGCAAGGCTAGGAATACTCCCCACGGAGTGGAGGAGGTTGCACTTTGTGCCGGTTTGATTATAGAACCGATGACCAGGGGTAATAATAACAACATCACCAGCGCCCTGCATCCCTTGGCAAAAAGCGTGGTATAAATTGCTACATTAATCTTCAAAACGAGAAAAAATATATGATCAAGTATTTCTATACACATAAATAATTAAAAATTAATACAATATTTTCCTTTGTAATTTTTAAGAATAGTTCGAATCACATCATTAAATAAGCATATGCACTCTTGAATCCTTCATTACTAAGCTTACAATTTTCCTTGTTTTAACATAATAAGTTGTTAAATATATTATAACAGTTTGGGATCAGAAAATATAGGGTTAGTATAAAAATGTGTATGTAGAAAACTAACAAGCACTGATTTTGATACCTCATTTCATAACGCTCATCAATACAGAAAAGCTGAATGCAAAATGCGTTTGATTCTCCAGCAAACACCGGTTCAAACTTCACTGCCGGTTCCATGTTATCTAGGATTATACTGCCCTCTTTGGATGCAAATGGTTTAGTAGGTTCTGTCACCGATCGAGCTAAAGATGACCTCTGGTGTGAGAAATAAAGAGGCATTAAAGTTTGTGGCAGAGGAGATTTTGGGCTTCCAAATGAAATATCGTGTGTTCAAGTTTGATGCTGGTAACATTGCTGTGTATTTATCTATGTTCACCTCTCTTCATTTAGGAGTATAAATAGTTACCAGGTAGGAGGTGAAAGATTTGGAATGAAATTTAAAGTCCTGAATTAGCAACACAATTAAGCCAGGCATTCACCGTTGTACGACCATCGGCCGACGAAACCAACTCACTCAATGTGAGCGTTAGACGATGCAACACCGTCCACTGATCGTTGGTGGCAGTTCTAATGGATCGTCATTACAAACAATCCGTAGTGTGCCTGGCCTTAGAAATGCTCCTCAGGGAATGGAGGAGGCTAATACACATTGGCATGATTAATTATGCATCTAATGACAGGTTCATGGGGCATTGTACTGCTACGTCCTCTTTGTAGTGGTAGTTATCTCCAGGGCTAAAAAGAGGAAAGTTTACAGTTAATAGTTATGTACTGTAATGAGGATCTCTTACCTTTGAAGAAGCTTCAGAGTGAACGGATCCTACATCATCAACATCACTAGCTACCGGAGTTCTAAAGATGAAAGCAAAAAAAAAAAAAAAAATCTCAAATATAATTTTCATGTCTTCTATACAGTATAATGAATGATAGCATTGTTTATAGTTTAATTTTATCACTACTACCTACAGTACGTTTACTTTCAAACTGTCTTTCGGAAGAAATGTTTAGGGTACTGGTGCATGTGCATTAAGTCTTGTACATGTTAGAGAACTATGTACACTTACGGAAAGAAGAGTTAGGGATTGTCTCCTAAGGTAAAGACCAATCACCAACATTGTGTGAGTATATTCAAAAAGAAAAAGTTTATATACAAGAACATAAGATGAAGATGGTGGTGGTGGTGATGATGATGATGATGATGATGATGATAAAAATGTGAAGATGAGATGGTGATGATTATGATGAGAATAATAAAAAAGATGGTGTGGATGATGAAGAAGATTATGATGATGTTATTGATCTTGATGAAGACAAATTATGGTGATGGTATACAATAATGCATAAAATCTTGATGATGATAGCGATGAGTGAGATGATGATGAGGAAAATTATGATAATGATAATGAGGATGTTGTGATGATGATGATAATGATAATGATAATGAAGAAAATTGATGATTAAAATGAGGACAATGATTTTGAATATCTAATCAAATTAATCAACGAATATAAAGTAAACATTATTTGACAGTTACAAGAAGTTAGTTATACAGCATAGAAAGCAATATTATGAAATGTGAACTTGTAAATATTTTGCCATATTCCTACCCTTCCATATGAGCATCACTCAGTTTACGCTGCACTGTCAGATCTGCTGTGGCTCCACTGCCTGAAGAAAAGAGAGAAATAAAAAAATTATAATAAATCTATCATTTTGTAATAGAAAGAGACAAATATTGCCCAAAAACACTCACAAATCTATTTGACATTCAACATCAGGCACGAATCCAGTAAGGGGCATGGGGGAGGGGGTGTTTGCCTTATGCCGTAGTCCTGGGTTAAAAAAAACCTTGAGTTCAGTAAAACTCAAGGATTTTTTTTTTAACCAACCAATCAACCTACCTATCAACCAATTATAAATTAGCTAAAGTTAGTAAGATGCATGTCTATGAGAGGGGAAGATTAAACTAAAGCTTCAAGTTTATAATCATATCATTAGATACAAATTACACAGAATACATAATTTCATAATGTATACATTGAAAGATGTATAATGTTGTTAATGGGCCATACCTCTTGAAACTGATTTGGCTTGCGGAGTGGCCTGTTGAGAGATGGTCTTTACTCCGCTGCTAGGCCTAGCAGTTGTGAATTCCTCGCCTTTCTTGATGGAGGCTAAAGAGCTGGTCCGAGAATGAGACTCGGCCTCTGACCCTGCCCGGCTGCCAGGTGCATTCTCTACCACAGGAACCTCTTCGGCTGTGATGAATAACAAAACACTCTTTGAATAATTAGGCCACTAACAACAGTTAGTAGTGGATGAGTTACTTTTGTATTATTAACAAAAACCTTTGAACTTCAGACAGCCAAAACTGTTTGTTTTTCATTCATTTATTCATTCGTTCATCCATTTCTTGTTTTCTTTTACACATACTGTACATTTCTTTATTCATCCATATATCCATCCATCCGTTCTTCTATCCATCCATTAATTAATTAATTAATCAATTAATTCATTCATTTATTCATATCCACCCACCCATTTATTCATTCAATCAGTCAGTAATTCATACACTAATTCAATAATTAATTTATTATTTATTCATGAATTCACCACATTAATCCACCCACTCATTATTATATCATGTTATCATAATACAAAATACATTATTATATACAGAATTTGAATTGGATTTATTCTGTGTAAACACCAAGGATTACCCACGAAAATCCGAAGAAGGCTTATTTCCAGTAGGGTCGTTCTGGTGGTGATTGTGCAGTACACTCTGAGACAATCCCTACACTTTTTGGTGAGCGTACTGCATTCTATAACATGCACATAGGCCATACAGGACCAACAGCTTTTAAGATGTACAGTAATGCATTTTAGGCTTTGTAATTCAGATTCTTTGGATTCTTTTAATGAATTTTATTGTATTTTACGATGCACTGTTTTTTAATCTTTTTAGCTTGTAATCCAGATCCTTAATATTGAATTGCCCCATGTGGGATGAATAAAGATATATTGTATCGTATTGTATTGCCTCAACCGAAGGACGGTGCGTTTTTTAAAACTTGTATTTCAGCCCTCCAGCTGAAAGACAAGGAGAGCGGCAAGTGGAAATAAACCGGGGAACAAGAAATCTCTACGGTTCAGCGCACACACATTGGCTACCGCCAGTTTAGCCGAATGAGTTGAGCTATTCTCCAGCTGATTATGGAATCATCATCAATATAGAAGTAGAAACTGTAATCAATAAAACATACATAATGCTTATTCTAGTCACTATAATTAGAATATACAGTCACATGGTCTAAACTCACCTGGCAAAGTAAGAGGCCTTAGAACATCTTCAGGGCGGGGTTTGTAGTCACTATAGCAACTACAATATACAGTCACATGGTCTAAACTCACCTGGCAAAGTAGGAGGCCTTAGGACATCTTCAGGGTGGGGTTTATAGTCACTTTAGCAACTACAATATATAGTCACATGGTCTGAACTCACCTGGCAAAGTAGGAGGCCTTAGAACATCTTCAGGGTGGGGTTTATAGTCACTATAGCAACTACAATATACAGTCACATGGTCTGAACTCACCTGGCAAAGTAGGAGGCATTAGAACATCTTCAGGGCGGGGTTTATAGTCACTATAGCAACTACAATATACAGTCACATGATTTGAACTCACCTGGTGGAGTAGGAGGTCTTAGAACATCTTCAGGGTGGGGTTTACATAGTCCATGAAATGGAACCAGTTCAAAGCAGGAGTTTAACAGCTCTACATTCACCTCACTTGCTACGCTCATGAAGCCAACAGCAGTACCTTCCATCTGTCAAGAATTTAATGTATTTTTCATCCAAAGATGTTTGAGAGAAGTGTTTAACATAGCAAAAATAATATAAAAATTAATATTATATAAAACAATATTATTATTTATCTTTACAAAACCAGATGAAATTGTTTGAACATTTAAAAACAAAACAATAATCATAAAAAGCAACAAAACATAAAAAAAAATTAATTAAAATATAGAGCAATAAACACATAATAAACATAAAGAAATATAACACTGCAATACACATAATCTTAAAGTCCCACTTCCCTCTACTGACAGAATAGTTTAACAACTGGAGTGGAAAGTGTAAACAAACAAACCTCTACAATGAGAGCATGATGATTTTCATCTTGTGCCTCGATCAATTCAGCGAGAAAGTAATCGCCATAGGATTTGCGTAGCATGTCACTCTGACGGTTAAAGATTGGTGTGAGGTCGTCATGATCTTCAACTCTAACATGGGGAAAGAAAATTATCTTTCTTTTTTTAGAAGTTGTAAAGGTTTTCGTCCTACAAGAATATATTGCATCCAGCTTTCAGTGGCGTAGGGAACAAATTGCAGGCTGGTTGGCAACATGACAACCAACATGTTAATAAAAAATGTATTAAAACATTATGTGAATCTATGTCCACACAATCGGATTTTAAGCTAAGTTATGTACACACTATCAAATTTTCTTTGACAAAAAACCTGTTGTATGCCCATAAATAGTCATGATGTGCCTAAATATGGTGATGATGTGATGTCACAATGACCATATTTAGGCATGTCACATGTTTTTTGTCAAATCAAATTTGATAGTCTGAACAGGGCTTAAGGTGCAAGAAAACTGTTGTATGCCCATATATAGTCATGATGTGCCTAAATATGGTCATGATGTAATATGACATCATCATCCTATGGGCAAATAACAATGGATTATTCCACTAAACTGTTTGCTAAGGTCTCACAAAATGACAGCATAAAAGTATGTGAATACATGTATTTTGAGGGACAAGCAAGTATCCCTGGCCCTGTTGTGATTCGTCAGTTGTTGACACTTCAGAAAGTGACACTTGAGTTGACACTTCATTGTCATGTAAACATTGACTGTTTGGAAAGAATACAGCAATCACACTGGACTTTTGTTGGTAAAAACTAACCAAGACGCTGGTTAGTTTTACTATAATTAGTCAACAATGCAAACAGCCCAGAGAACTTATCTTTCAGGAAAACTTACCGAGACGAGCGGTTAGTTTAATTGAGTGGATTTGCCCAGTAAAACTGACCAGGTTAGTTTTACCGAGCCGAAAAGTCCAATGCGAACATGTGTCTCGGTTAAACTACCCAAGTCATTTGAGCATTACTCAATGTCACATATTAGCACTCTCAACAGTTAATTTTCACTGCTCGGTTAGTTTTACCATCTCTTGCAGTAAAAGTCACCGACTCAAAAAATCCAAGTAAGATTTACCCCTTGGAATGTTACCCACGGGCCAGTGTGATTGCAGCTTTAGATAAGTTTTGTAAGATAGTATAAAGGGCCACTCAATCTTAATTTCTTACCGAGCTTTCCTTGTGTATAATACAGGGCACAATGTGTGCCGATGACAAACAAAAACAACACATTTTTCTGATGGCTTTGCCCCTGCTTTTTTATCCATCGGGACAAATAACTCGGCCAACGCAAGATCAGGATATACACCTCCGGGAACCACCAGAAAAATGAAGTGGATATCAGGAACGGCATTGAAAACAGTTCTGGAATGTAAATAATAGTCATGGAGTAGATAAGAATATTGGTAAAAAATAAGATAAGCAACTATGCCTACATCAAATTAAAAGAAGTAAAAAATATGCTTTACCTTATAATTTCTCTAGCACTTCCATGAGAAAAGTCGCCCTTGGAGACAAAGTAGTGCATAAAAAGTGTGTTCAAAGGCTGTGGATGAAATGAAGTATAAAGCTAATAAAAGAAAGTGAATTTTAAGCATTATAATTTGTCTCTTATGAATATACTGTAGGACTGGTAAATTATCATAGTTTAATGATGAGAGATTATCAAAATTTGCTCCGGGCCTGTGTCTAATGCCTGATATACATATTTTTTTCTACTTTTAACTAATCACCCATCCACACTATCCACATGAATAACTATACAGGTAACGGATTGTTGACTTTTTAGTTCTTTCTAGGGCAGGTCTAGGCAAAACATTATATTTCATAGGCTTACATTTGGAAGAATGTTCATTTCTATATTTAGCTTATGACGTATCCCATCCCATCCCATTAACACTTCCGGAAAGATCCGTCGAAAATTCAACGAACTGTATGAGTTACCGTGCATGTTTCTGTATCATACTGTGCATTCAACCATTCCTGCCATTTACTCTGGTCAACATCGGAGAAGTTTGGATAATCAAAGAATGCGGCATGAGCCAACACTTCTTCACGCTCGTTGTTCAACGTGACGGCAAGAACCGACTTCTCGCTGTGGATATAAAACAAAGGTGAATTTCATTGTTATACCGGTGCATGAGGAAGGTCTCAAAAATATATAGAATGCATAGGGACGATGACTGGGCCCTACAATTCCAAATACTAATTGCCAGGAAGTTTTTAATTTTTTATAGTTTTTGTAATTGTTTATTGTGAGTTTACTTTCAAAGGTTCGCAAATCTACAGCAACCATATGCCACCCTAGCTTAGTGAAAGCGCCAGAGGGCAATCCAAGAGGGATAATCATCAGCTTTCTTTTACATACAAAGATGTTTTATTATGTATAAGGATTATGTATGAATTCTGGTACACTCCTGCATAAATGTCGGGCATTTACTGCGGCCGACACGATTCCATAGAGAACGTAACACCATGATGTGTGCGCCATGGATCGTTTTTAATAACAATCTGTCAGACTGCCACCAACAGTCAGTAGATGAAATTGGGTCATTCAGCGATCACAGGAAGCGAAGTTGGATTCATCGGCCGACTGTTGTACGACTGTCCCACAACACAACAAGTTCCCGGCTTAAGACTACTAATAACTTACATTAGATGCACAATATTGACTCTGCCAAACAATTGTTCTGTAGAGGGTGAAACAAGTTTGATGATGTTCGCTGCATCAAGTGATTCAGTTCGCCGTGCATTGATGACCTCTGTTGGCCCATTGGCTGACATCAAAACAGCTGTCATGTCGTCGCTGCAGTTTCCTTTTGACTAAATAGTTAATTCTGAAATTAAGAGAAAAAAAACATTGTTTTTCAATATTGAACACTACATAACTAAATTTTGAAAACATGCTAAAAATTATATTCAAATTTATTGGTGTTAAAATTTCTCTGATACAATATGAAAAAAATAGCAATCGTTAATAAAACAGTAATAATCATGCTGAAAAAAAATATGTATAGTCAAGCATCGTTAAAAACCAAAATAAATAAAGTCAATACTAAGTCTAAAACACGCAAAAAAATGAAGTAAATATAAAACGGTACCGGCCTGTGCGAATAACCTCTCTTAATGTGTACATCGGCATTCCATACGCTGTTCATCGTGACCAACGTGTCTGGACTAGACGATCCTGAATTTCTTAATTTAATTGCTCAGTAAAAGGTAATAATGGATTCTAACCCGTAAGCTTGTCGATCATAATATAGTTTAATATGATAATACTATCTAATATACAAAACAGTTTGCAAAACGTTTTATTATAGTAAAAATGTAATTCATCAAAATTGGGTACGGGTTAGTGTATGGTGTGTACGGTTTGACCAAAATTGTGGGTACGGGTTGACTAAAATTGTGGGTACGGGTTGGCCAAAATTGTGGGTGCGGGTTGGCATGGGTACGGTTTGACTAGATTAAGCTAGCCTAGCCTACTAGGGCCTAGGCTAGCTAGGCCCTTGGGCCTAGGCCTAATTAACATTGTGTAAAATAAAAATATATTTTTAATAGATGAAGGATAGGCCTAAAAAGGCTAAGAAAATCACTAAAATGCGTCGGCAAAAAGGACCTAGCCTAGGCTAGACCACGAGCTTGGCTCACAAGCAACCCTGGCTAAGCGAGACACAGCCGCCTCTCGCAGCTTTTCATCAATAAATCGGGCCGCTAGGCCTAGGATGGTTATCCTGTTCTTGTCAACGTTAATTTATTTTCAGGTAAGATTTTGAAGTAAACACAAAATTCTACAGCTATATTCAATTATATATCAGATTAGAGACAGAATCATATCAAGTATACACACCTTGCGTTGATTTTAGTATCGTCTGATATGATCAAGTTAAAATACAGCCGCCATTGATTCTATGGCAACAATATACAAGTACTAAATTTATAGGGTCAGGGGTTAAACTATTAAACGCTTCTTAATCTTAGCCTAGATTTGCATAAACTTTATAATTAAATGATATAGCCATTAAATTATTCTAAATTTGGAAGTGCATAACTAAGAATATAGCTAAATATTTAGGTAGGCCAAGCCTAGGCTAGGCCTATGATTTATTATAGAATTTAGCTACTGATTTCTGTATATTATTTGTGAATTGTATTTTTTAGTCGACCGCCCTCAATAGTTAATGAACTTTTTTGAGCTTCCGATTATTTATTTGGTATTAATATAAACAGTAAACAAAATATAAGAATGCACAAACGGCAGCCAAAGCTGAATGATTGTATTTACATATATATATATATGTTATACACATCTATATCAGGAACGGCATTGAAAACAGTTCTGGAATGTAAATAATAGTCATGGAGTAGATAAGAATATTGGTAAAAAATAAGATAAGCAACTATGCCCACATCAAATTAAAAGAAGTAAAAAATATGCTTTACCTTATAATTTCTCTAGCACTTCCATGAGAAAAGTCGCCCTTGGAGACAAAGTAGTGCATAAAAAGTGTGTTCAAAGGCTGTGGATGAAATGAAGTATAAAGCTAATAAAAGAAAGTGAATTTTAAGCATTATAATTTGTCTCTTATGAATATACTGTAGGACTGGTAAATTATCATAGTTTAATGATGAGAGATTATCAAAATTTGCTCCGGGCCTGTGTCTAATGATAAAATTGGCGGTTACGCCCCTTTCCCTCCCCCAGTTTTCAAAAACCTGTATCTCATTAACCGTTTCCAAGTTTTACGTCAAATATGCTTAAATTTATGTGTCTTAGAAAGATTTGCTAGGGCGCCGCGTAACAGAAGTAGTTTCAAAAAATGAACAAACAAGATTTATGAAAATGAGAAATAATAAAATAACATAGGAGAATTATTACACCTTAAATACCTGATATTTAATATTATGAATACATTTTTGTATGAATATTATGAATTCTATTGTATATAATAAATAATGGTAATAAGTGGTAATGATAACAGTAATTCGAAATGCTGATACTAAAAATATGTTGAATATTTGTTGTAGGCCTACTCTTTGTAACTTATAATATATGCAACATAATATCTGCAGTGCAATCAATAATATAGTTCCTGTGCATTGGTCATCCCTTCCAAATTAAATTAAAGACGATGCTTACATTTGCACCCTTAAAGAATTTTTAAATAGGTTTAAAGCATATCTTTTTAGTCTTAATATGTAGGTATATTTTTTACATTTCATGCTTTTTTTATTTTTTTATTTTTTTATAAATTTTAACCGAATTTCTATTGTAAATATTATTGATGTTTTGTTGGGACTTCTCACTCACTGAGTCATAGAGGCAATTGCTTCTTTAGAAGTCCTAGGGCCTTTGTCTAATAAATAAATGAAGTGAAATGATTATCAAAATATTCTTTTATTTGTGTGTCCCGAATTTTGAACATTATTTGCATGTCTTATGTAAGTATCATAATTATTTATATGTTTGCATTGCGTTTGTTTTGTGAAACTCACTAGTATGCCCTCTGGGATTATCGTGAGATTGTTTTATACCAAATAAATAAATAGATAAATAAAACAAGAAACAATCCTTATATAAAAAAAAAACCTCTATGAGTGTTTATAGGCGCGTTTTACAACCCCCCCCCGGCCCCAACAGTTTAATAAATATCGTTTGTTGAGATATTTGTAAATGCTTTACCAGGAATTATGAAAAAAGAATAATCATGAAAGTGAAAAAAGAATAAGAAAACAGATAAAAACATCATTTAAAAAGCAAGAATTAACCTCCATAAAATTACCCAAATAAATTAAAGATTGCCCAAAGGTTTAGTTTCGCAGGGTGTCCCTAGTAGGTGGATATTAAATGACTCGGACTTTTCGAAAGCAGTTTAATAACTTCCCAATTACACATTTATTGCACTTCAGTGCAATTGGCACTGAAGTGCAATTGTATTTTACTTTCAGTGCAATTGGTTACGATTCAACTTAGAGTAGTGCAATACATTGCACTAGACTGAAGTGTATAATGGGAGGATAACCGGAAGGATAACTCGACAGTGCCACATAGTTACCAACCGTCTCGCATCCTGCGCGAAAAAAGTGTTTTTTGGATGAAACACGCATTTTGCAGAAACACATGCGTGATCATAAATTTGTTACGCATTTAGCACAAGTATGCGTGATAACGAATTATCACGAATTCAGTGGAAAATGTATTTAAATTTAAAAGAAATTTGTTTTATTAACGATATAAAAATGTCATTAGAGAGCTTTCATTCGAGAATAAATTCACTGACAAACTCTTTCTCTACCAAAACCCAGCCAACCACGCACTTACAATCTATGAGGGGCGGGCGACTAAAAGGTGGGGTTTTACCCCACTGGGTTTCCTCCCCTGGACTCCCCAGCAGGGTCCCAAGCGGCACTCGCCCCTAGTCTATGGTTAGCCGTCAGGGCCTAATGAAAACGCCGTTGTCTTCAGCGTGACCACTCACAATTTTTGATATACCCAATAACTGGGTCGAAATTACCCAAGATTCAGCAAAAATTACCCAAAATTACCCAAGATTCCTGAAAATGCATTAAAATTTGAAAACAACGTGTTTTTCGCATGTATAGTTTAACTTTTAGTTCAACCATTTTTTATTGTAATTGTTTGTGTTAATTATTAAAATTAATATTCATGAGGTGATAATACGGACAGAGCCGTAGATAGAGAGAGTTTGGCCAACTCGGTTTCAATCACGTGACTTACACCGGCCATGTTGTCACCAAAACAGAACAACGCGATAGGGTAGGAAGTTAGCAGTTATTATAGATGATTAATGCTATATAATGTGAAATACCATTATGTTGGTTTTGGGGTTGCTGCAATCGATCCAACAAAGAAACAAAAATGTATTAATTTCCTAAAATTAAAATTCCAAAAAGGAGGAGGATTTGGGATTTTATTTTAACTTTGCATGGCGATCGAAAAATCTCGCTATCCACGTCACGTAGTAAATTATAAGGCATGTACCGCCCGCCCCACTTCGCGGTAATAATATATCCAATTGACGGATCTGGGGGAGGAGGGTCATGGGTCCTGACCCTTCCCTTGGGCAACAAAAAAAGGGAAAAAAAGAATTCTAGACCTACCTTTTCAGGACCCGTGAGCTGTTTTTTTTTTTTATGTTACTATAAGAAAATTTGAATTTTGAAGAACATAAAAGTCATTAAAACACACTTCAAATATCAGGAAAGCTCATTCATCTAGGAATAAAAATTTTCCCGGGGGAGAACCCCCAGAACACCATTTCTTTTTGGGATTTATCGATTTGTGGAAAAAAGAATAAGCATGTAACTACTCATTTATTTATGTATGTATACACTCTTAAAAGAGGGGAAAACCTTGAATTTTGAAGAACTTAAAAAGTCATTTAAAATACATTTCCGAAGTCAGGAAAGCTTATTTCCCGCATTCTAGAAATCGAAATTTTCCCGGGGAACCCGGAACCGATTTTTGTGGGGGGGGGGGGGGGGGGGTTCATCGATTCATTGAATCATTTTCAAGAGGGGGAAATCTTGAATTTTGAAGAAATTTAAAGTAATTAAACGACACTTCAGAAGTCGGGAAAGCCCATTTCCCGCCTTCTAGGAATCAAAAATTTTTTTCGGGGGAACCCCGACACCATTTTCTTTGGGGTTCATTGATTCATTGAATTATTTTCAAGAGGTGAAAAACATTTAATTTTTTGAAGAAATTAAAAGTAATTAAAAGACACCTCAGAAGTCGGGAAAGCTCATTTCCCATCTTCTGGAATCAAAATTTTCCCGGGGGAGAACCTCCGGACCCCCTTTCTATTTGGGATTTATCGATTTATGAAAAAAAAAATTATATGCAACTACTCAATATTTTTTATATGTATGTATACACACATAAGGCCTATTTACTGTAATAACAAGTGGAAAAATTTACCTGACCGTTTTCAAGAGCGGAAACCTTGAATTTTGAAGAACTTAAAAGTAATATAAGACACCTCAGAAGTCGGAAATATTTGGGGTTATTTGGGGTTCATTGATTCATTGAATTATTTTAAAGAGGTGAAAAACCTTTAATTTTTTGAAGAAATTAAAAGTAATTAAAAGACACCTCAGAAGTCGGGAAAGCTCATTTCCCATCTTCTGGAATCAAAATTTTCCCGAGGGAGAACCTCCGGACCCCCTTTCTATTTGGGATTTATCGATTTATGAAAAAAAAAATTATATGCAACTACTCAATATTTTTTTAATATGTATGTATACACACATAAAGCCTATTTACTATAATAACAAGTGGTAAAATTTACCTGACCGTTTTCAAGAGTGGAAACCTTGAATTTTGAAGAACTTAAAAGTAATTAAGACACCTCAGAAGTCGGAAATATTTCCCGCCATTTAGGAATCAAAATTTTCCCGGGGGGAACCCTTGGAACCCCCTTGTCTTTGGAGCTTATCGATTAATTGAAAAAGGAATACGTATATATGCAACTACTAATTTTTTTTTTTTATGTATGTATACACACACAACCGGCCAATTTACTGTAATAAGAATGAGAAAGTTTACCTGACCGTTTTCAAGAGGGGGAAAACCTTTAATTTTGGAGAACAAAGTCATTAGACACCTAGCTAAAACCTAGCTACTTGAGAAGTTAGGAAAGCTCATTTCCCACCATTTAATCAACACTTTCCCGGGAAGAACCCGAACCTCCATTTTCTCTTTGAGTTCATTGATTCATTATAATAATTTTCAAGAGGGGAAAGCCTTGAATTTTGAAGAACTTGAA